TGTTTGAAAGTGTCGTGGATTGTGGTTTTTGAAAAGAAGGCAAGTGTTTTTGCAAGTTTGATCTCAAGTAACTTAAGAGTTTTGTCTACCCTATTGTACTCAAAGGGTTTTTGTTATGTTTTAACCCCTTTTTAACAATTTTGTTCCACCATTGAATTTGGTGGACAATCTTGCGTTTAGGAAGTTCGTTCGGGACGGGCGTGGGTCATCGTATGGACCATGAATGCAATGATGCCAAGTGTCTTTGGCAATTTGTTTTGGAGGGACTATGATCATTCCGTTTAGGCAACATTTTGAGAGACTTATGATCATTTGATTTTGTTTTGCCAAAGATTCTCGACGTGCAAGCATGGCCCATTTTGGAAGGCAACATGTGGGATTACCCTAGAGGGTGCAAGTGTGATTGTGTATTGATTACATGTATTTGTCTTGTATTAGGTCATCTAGCGTTTGATTTTATGTACATGCAAACCCTAGGTCTAACCATGGTATAATTGAAAGCGGTAAATTGCGACAATGTAAAGTCTACGCTATTACAGAATGAGTATCTGGGAGTGGGGGTACAAGTGTATGAATGGGGATGAGACTTATAGTATCCAATAAGTTACAACCAAATCGAATTTGCGATCAAATGTAAATATCGAATATACAAATATAAGATAAACAAATGTGTATAGGGCAATGTGAATGTATTTGCATTGTGTAAGTGTGAGATGTATATGTATATATATGATTATTTACATGTGCGACAAGGTGAGATTAATGTGTATTTAGGGTATTTATTTAACCTAAGGAATAATTAAGCGTTTATTTAATTATTGATCTTGTATTTCTTTTAATATGCACAAAAGAAAATGTTTTAATTGTATGTTCAAGTTTTAATTAAATTGTGAATAAAAATGATGTTTTAAGAAAAGAAAATATTTCTAAGCTTTAATTATGTATAAAAAGTATATTTTCATGTGTTATGTATTGAATTATGTATATATAAAAGAAACGTATTTTTAATTGTTATGTATAAAAATGTTTTAATGAAAAGAAAGTGTTTTCAATTATGTGTCAAAATGTATCTTTATTTATTATAAAAAGTATATTCAAATAAATATCAAGAAACAAAGTGGAAAAAAGTATTGTTATTTATTAGTAAGAACATTTGATTTTTAAGGAAAAAATGTTTTTCAATATCAATTAGGTGATGTAAAAATGTATTTTTGACATTATGTACCAAAGTATTTTTAAATAAAAATCAAGGATTAAATTATGTATACTAAAAAGGGTATTTTTATTGGTTATATACAAATTAAATAAAAGAAAGGTATTATCTCTAAGGAGAATTTTATATTCTATGCATATATAAAATAAATTAAAAAAAAAAAAAGAACATATAAATTATTTATGGATCAAAATGTGTAAAAATATGATTAGTAGAAAAAAAGGGTTATGTTAGTTAATTAGCAAAAATTGTATTTGTTTTATTAAAAAGAAAAGAGTTTTAAAATCCTTTTTTTGTTTTAATGGGCTTAGCCATGCAGAACGGACAAGGCCCGTTTGGATCCAAAATATTTTAGGGTTTGGAGTTTTGTTATTCAGTTGGTAATGCGTAGGGTTTGTACAGCGCGCCGTTCGTACATTTCTTCTTCGTCTTCTCCGTTTGCTCTTGAATCTGACTCCTCCGTCTAGCCACCAGCGCTACCTCTTTCTCCCCCCCCACGTTAGCTCAGGCAGTGGTGAAGCAAGGTAACAACATGTTTCGAACTTATTACACATTTTAGATTTTTTGCATGTTAAAATTCTTTGATTTGTTGAGTCCGATTCTGTATTCTATTGACTAATGCATTTGGTTTGTCTTACGTGAGGTACAAAAGGAAAAGAGAAAACGAAAACTACCTTGACGGAGGGGAGGAAGAAAAAGGAAGTGCTCAGGAGGCTCAACGATGGAGGAGGACGCGATTGTGAAGCTAGCTTGGACGACGCTTGGTACCTCTGTATCTTTTCTCCTTTGCTTATGGTTTCGTGATGATTTGAACTGAAAACCTAATTTGGATATTCATCTCTTTCTTCTTCTCTTTCGCCACTGTATACTTGTTGCCTAGAGCTTTTCTTTGAATGGCCTTCTGAGATTGATGCCTTTGGAATGTTTCATTTGTTGCCCCATGATGTTTTCTACTGAGGGCTCGTGGGTTTGGACACAGCTTTTTGTTATCTTTCTTCTTCGTCCCTGAATTGCCCTAGTTCTGTTGCTTAGGATGAAAACCTACTTTGCTTTGCTCATATGCTCTTTTTCGGTTGCCCTGAACTTTTTTTCTCTTCTTCTGACTTTCTTCTGATTTGTTACCTCGAGTGTTGGTCGTATGCTTGCGTATGTTGCACCCTATGATGATGTAAATCTGAGGGTTTGGTATTTGGATGGTATTATGTCATGATGATTGCAGGTCTGAGGCTTTTATGGTTAAAGCTTATCAGTCTAAGGCTTGGTTTGGTCTTGTGGCCTTTGAGGGTAAAGCTTAATGCAGGTTCAAGTTTGACAGTAGGTTTGGTGTTTGATAGGTAAGGCTTCGGGCTGGATGAGGTCTTGAGGCTTCAACTGGTTATTATTTTTTTTTCTTTTGAGTTATTGACAGGTTGTGTTTTATGAGGCTCAGCAGGTGTTATGCTTAGGCCAGTTGGACTGGTTTTGTTGTTAGGCAGGTTATCTGGTTTTTTGTAGTGCAGTTTTGTGGTTAGGCTTTTTTGTTTTGTTGGTTTTGGACAGTTATCATGCTGAGGCAGTTTGTATCTCAGTTTTGTATATCTTTCTTTTTTGAACTGTGTTTTTTCTTTTGTATATTTTTTCTTCCTATCTATCCTGCCTAAGCCTAAAGCCTGAACCCTGCTTTTTATCTCTCTTCTCTCTTAGTACAGTTGGATATTTTAATATGCTTCTTTCCTGTACTTTTTCTGAAAGTGGCCATTCTGATGGGAAATGATGAAAAAAGTTTGCTTGCATATCATGCTTTCCTCTGCATATTTGATCTCTTCTTTGACAGCTTTTGTACTTTTTTGTCTTCTTTGATATCCTTGTGCAGTAACTTGACAGCTTTGGTATTTGACAGAAAGTTGTACTTTGATTTTTTAGTTTGGTTGAACTTGAACTATGCAGTTTGACATTTTGAATTTATGCATTTGGCATTTTGCATTCATGATTTAAATGAATAAAATTCCTCCCTCTTTGTGAACCGGGAGAAATCCCGTGATTTGCAGAGAGGGTTAACTGATCCCAGTCAGTGGCCCTTAATGATGACTGCAAATTTTATCTGTCTTTTCGATTTAACTGCTTTTTGACTTTTCTCTTTTTCTTTTGCAGATGAAAAATGGAATACCGGAGCGAAGTGAATAATGAAGAGATTAGGGACTTTAGAAAATGTTTAGAGAAAAAATAGGATAGTTTTTATTTTCAATTTAATTATTGTAAACCATTATTATTTTAAATACTTCGTAAATAAATACTTGTATCCGAATAATAATTGTAACAAATATTAAATATGAAATAAAAATTCTTACTGATTCATTTAATTCTTTTCAAATCCTTTTCAATTATTTACTTATTATTCATGGTTCCTTAAATTAAAATAAATGAAGGTTAAATTTCAGATATTTAATCCTTAGAACAATAAATAATCAGTTAAACATTGATTCTTCGTCGATCAAAATAAAATGAACTTGAAGTCTCCATCATTCAAAGCAACGCACAGTCGAACACAATAACTGATCAGACGCAATCCTTTCTTATTGATTTCTTGCCAAGCACTATAGATCCAAACTGCATATTTCTTTTGACTGGCTCAAACAAAACAACATGAATTCAACCCAACTACCTCTTTTACTGATTAAATCAAAACAACGCTAACTCAACCCGAATCTTGGAGTAACTTGCAAAGTGCTGTGGAAATTTAATCTTTCTGAGAATATGCCCATAAAACCTTAATTCTTGATTAAATGCCAATGAACATTTTCCTGATCAAAATTGAGCCAGAATCAACCACAACCCTAAGCCAATTGTGTGAAACAATCCAGAGCCCTAAAAATCAATAAAACCCTAATTTTCGTTTGACTGATGAGAAAAGTCCGTTTGTCCGATTCTTGAGCCAGTTTGAAAAATCAGGAAACGCCTGAAGCTGAGATTTCTTGTGGAAAAACGCGAGGGCAAATTTTGGGGTACAACAGTTGCCCCTGTTCAATCTTCTTGAACCTGAAGACACTACAAGAAAAATGATAGATTGGGACGGTTATTTTGGCTGATTACGACGGTTAAAACCGTCGCAATTTACAATCTACGATGGTAGAAGTACCGTCGCAGAATCGTGCGTCCCCAGCCTATTTCGCGACGGTTGCAAAAACTGTCACGCACAACAGATAGCGACGGTTATATACCGTCGTGAATTTGACTTTATTTTTTGTTTTTGTTGTTATTTGCGACGGTTATTCTACCGCCGTAGGTTAGAAATTGCGGCGGTTTTAACCGTCGTAATCTGATTTATAAATTTCAAATAATATTTTTATTTATATTATTATTTAGTAAAATAATTTTAAATATAATATTATTTTACTATAATATTTTACTATTATATTTAAATTATTATTTACTTTAATATTTTTTTATTTATAGTATTTTTATTTTATTTTCTATCACTTTTCAACATAATAAAGTTAATTACAATAAAAACATTTAATATCAAATAATCATCAATAATATCAAAAAAATGTGATCAAAGGTAAAAAGAAGTGCAAATTTTACCAATAAACAAGAAAAATTCAAATATCATCAAAGGCCAAATTTCATTTTAATATTTACATTGGTTTGCTACAACTTGAGAGAATTACAAAAAATGTTACAATATTCTACAAAATTCATGAAAGTCCTTAGTGTTAAGTGATTTTGTGTTAAACTTCCATGCTAGGACCATGATCCTTCCTTGACTACCATTTGGTCCAAGCTACGCATACCTAGCAGCCTGCAAGATTCACACAAAACATATTTTTGTACTCACAAGAACATGTGGCAGGTTTTTGGCATCATAATATGCCTCAGATGGCTTAGTCAATGTCTTTGTGATGACATGTTTTTCCAATTCTACTTGTCCATTTTGCGCTTCTTCTTGTACCTGCATTACAAAACTGTCAATTATGGGCTGGCAGAATAACTCTCACAACAGTTTGCCTAACACAATGATCTCATACCATTTTCTAAGGGGTTAAGCTGAATGCTGGGCACGGATCGTGTTTGTTCCCCTGTGGTTAGCAAGAAAAGAGATGCACCAAACGAGACAGATGAGATTTATTATATTCAATAACATTGAGCTCAAAGGACAGTTGATAAAGAATTTTGGATTCGGGAAAAAAAGAAATCTAACCTGCTGTCAAAACTCTTTCCTGTTTCACTATCAACAACAGAAGACTTACTCATACCAGGCTTGGCTATACGGATTATATGTTCACATTCCTCACTGTTATTTTCTCCTGCAAGTTTCATTTTGTTATTTTCAATAAACTACATAGAGACCAGTTAGTTAAACAGTTTGGAATTGGATACCTTGGTTTGGCTTGTAAGCAGAAATGAAATCTGTTCCACTCAGATATTGTATTGGTTTGGTGCCGGTTCCCAAATACGATTCGTAAGCGTTCTCCATAAATCTGTTCAATAGTTGACCACTCCATTTGTGTTTTTGTTTCATCTTTTTGATTTCTTCAACCCCTTTTAACAAATTTTGAACACATCACCCATAGAACAATAAAACAAACATTGAGATCAACTAAGACGAGACATTTAATTACCTACTCCTGAAAGGCCAAGGGTATAGATATATGCAAACTTGATAAACCAAAGACATGTAGCATAGTTTTCTGGAAGAAGTTTGTGTTTAGATTGCATTGATATATTGCGATGTTGATAATTTTGGAACACTTTGTGTTTCTCTTCAATATTTTTAGATCCTGCAACACTTTGTGTTTCTCTTCAATATTTTTAGATCCTGCAATTCAACTACCGTTTCATTTTTGGGTTATGTGTTTTATATGCTACTGTAAGATGTAATTCACACATACCATATGCAGCAGTAGAAGTAGTTTCTTTCATCAGCACTCGCTTAACAAAGGGTATAAGTGGATAAGCATACTCTTTACATTTTTGAAGAAAGAGATAACATGTGTCATAGTTCTTTGGACATTTCTTGTGTGAGCTTGATTCATATTGTTTCATGGCACAATATTTGACAGCTTCTTCCACATTCAGGATTCCCACAGGTATACCTTGTAATGCATAAATGTATTAAAACTATGCATAATGGACAGTAATATACACAATATTGAAATGTTGCACACTTACAGTGGTATAGAATCCTCTTCCACCATATCATCTTGCATCCACTTTTGAATGCTGAGGGCCTAGTAGCAAGAAGTTTGAGAGGACTAAATCCATGTCTGTTCGCAATGACAATAAGATCCGGATATTTATCTATAATTATAAGCGCCAAATCTGTTGCAATATACACAAATATTAGTATTTTATATACAGTTTTTCTGACACTCCAGATTTTCATGCAGGTTTCTGCATAAATGCATGTGGAATCCGATAGGAATAAGCAAACATGCAATTTAAGTAGAAACATTAATTACCGAAAAATTCTCTCCTGATGGCACAGTGAAGAACCATGAATCCGAATCTACGATTTCCAAGATTTTCTGCACTAGTTGGAACGAGTGAACCACGACTAATGTTGAGAGAACTCATAACTTGCATAGATGAATTTACAATTGGAGACGAGAAGTACAAATACACCTTTAGCTTGTTAAGGTCATTAGTTGCCTGAATTGTTCTAGTTTCACTGTTAATTCGAAGTAGCTTTTCAGGTACACGAGTCCTGATGTTGACATAAACCTTTCTTCTGTCTGTGGATCATATTTTCGAACATCAAATCCTCGTGAATTACTAATTATATCCAGTACTAATACCGCTAGAATGACAGAAGAAAGATAGCACTCACCAATATGTAGATGAACACTCGAATTCGCCATTCTTGTAAAGCTGTTACCAGCTATGTCAGTACAGAAACTCCTATCCATTACCAGGATTGCTCGGCCGTATTGAACGGTAGGAGATAAACTAACAAGAAGAGAATACATGAGGTTTGGCTTCAGAACTCTAAAGGAAGATGGTACAACCTGGCCAGCACCATAGACAAGAAGCTGCAAAGAAATATAACAGCAAGAAGTTAAAAATGGATCTAATATTATGGTAACACAGTACTCGCTCCGTCTTGTTTTGAGAAATCTAAGCAATTGTAGATGGACATATGCTTACATTGCAGGCATTCACAGACTTGCATCCAAAACCTTCACCTATACACGGTTCGGTGAAAGATATATTTACCGAAACATTTGAAGAACTTGTGAAAGTTGTTGAGGCTGTAACATATGCTGTTGGTGGAATTGTGTCTGAAAAAGTTAAAAATGATTTTTATCACTCCAAAGACACAAAAGCATGTAAAAGGCCAAATTCATCGGCAATAACAGACTGATAAATAAAAACATAGGAATGAAGTATGGTTTCTTAACCAACAGTCCAGTTGTAGCTAGCACAGCCCACAAAACTATGATTTCCATTGGTGCAGACTTCAAAACCATGATTTCCATTTGATGAATTAATTTCGTTAAGATAGTGTACCATAAATGATGGGTTTGAGTGTCTTCAATATTTCACATTTTAGTGGTTATTATATAGTCATTGCATTATGGATAAGTCAGTGAACTTTGAGTGCATTGTGTGCCTCTGAATTGTGGCCGTTGCCGCGTGTTACACTCATACGATATTAATTTATATATAACACTCATACTTCTCGATCTAACGGATCATAATTTACTAATGATAAAACTGTAAGGGTCTATGTAGACGCAATGTTATATCACTTGATAAATAATTGAAGTTGAAGGAAACAACAAACACCATAAATGTAACTTAAAATTCTTGGTATGAACATGAAAATCAACATGAAAATCAATGGATAAATAAAAAGAAAGAAAATGTTAGTCCAATTGAGTGATGGTCCCACAAAAAGATAAAAGAGAAGCAAAGACAAAAACATGAATGGAGACTAGAGATGTTTTATTCTGTGACAATCACATAGTGACAAAATGATTTGAGAATGCGATATAAAATGTCTACTGAGCTCAACCTTAGAAATATTATCCCTCATGTCCCGTTTCTTTCTATAATAATCTTATCATAGTAGAACTCTACTCTCCCATGCCATAGACATAAAAGTATTAATGCAATCATTCACATTCAGATCTCCTATAAAATTGAGAAAAACAATTACCACCATAAAATTTATATATATATAGCGTGTCAGATGAGAACTGATATCACGGGTAATTTACTTGATCTCGAATCTTTCAAGCTTTCTGTTCTATGTCACGGGTAATTTACTTGCTAAAGTTTCCTACATGTGAGATTGTTCCAAAGTTTCCTACAGTATCTGAAGTAATCCTTGTTCCCTTTCAGCACCTCCCTATGTAATTTATGGACAATTAGAGTTTAATTGGACAGAAAAAAGTGACCACCAACAACACCATTATTTTATAGGACACCTCACTTGTCAATGTTGATTATTGTCAGTTAGAGATAAAACACTGACATCAGTTCTAGAACAATTGAGATTTCAAAATTAATAATGTAGTTTAGTTCTATAATGTGAATGATTAAGTGGTTAACTTTATCTTCAGGACCTTTGACAATAATGGAATAAAGTTTAATAACTTGGGTGAAAGCAATATAAAGCAAAAACTGTTCATATGCATCAATTTCTAGATGAAAACCTTTATCTTCTCTATAACCCTAATTTTCATCAAGCAAAGTTACATTAAGATAAAATTATAGCTAACACAATAAGGGTTTTTGCTTCTGAATTGAATCATAGAAAAAAGAAACATAACCTGTTTGATAGCACTGGAAACAGAGAGAGTGGTGCTTTGATTGAGGCATTCAACACCAATCCAATCTATGAAGCCTAAGAGATCAACCTAATCAAGAGTATATGAACTAGGTTAGAACTTGTGTACCCTAAATCAAATAAGATAAACTTGACGATGATCATAATAGTGAATGATAGAGTTTGAATCTTACTTGACCCTTGTGAATAGCGGTGGCGGATTCTCCAGACATTGCTGCTGATTTGTGCGACACGGAATACCTTCTTTGTGCGACTTCAAAGAGAGATCTTCCCCTTTGCTTAGCAATCGAAGGAGGCCAGTACGAAGACCTCTAGAGGACATTTGATGCTTTCGATTGGATATCTCAGATCTGACACGTAGTCGTCTTTATGTACAAAGGAGTTTGTGATTCTGAAAAGAAAAGGAAATTGCGGTAGAATTTGAGAATCTTAGCGCGTGAATTGAAAGAACGTTACGAAAGGTTGAGAACGATCATAAATCTGAGCGGGGTCGGTTCTTAAACCGTCGTGGGATATGATACGTTCCAGCCAAAGGGACGGTGAAAGGAACCGTCGTGGGATATGCTATAATTCTATTTTTTATTGAATATATATTGACATTACTATTATATTATTTAAATACTACTAATATTAATATAGTTACTATTATATTATATAACTACTATTAATATAATTAATAGTTAGTAAGTAATATTATAATACTAATATTATAATTAATTAATTACTATTATTATATTTAATTAATAAAAGTGAAAAGATGGAAAAATAAAACAAATGGAAAAAGTGAGAAAATAAAATAATAACAAAATAATAATTATGATTGGTCAAAGTAGTCGCGACAATCTGTTATACTGGTCACGAGTGTGGAAAAAGGGCAGTTCTTTGGCAACTGTCTCAATTATGTTACTCAATATGCTTAAAAATCTACGACGGTTGGCTCTAACTGTCGTGACAACTGTCGCAGTCCAAGAATAAGGACAGATTTATGGGAACCGTCGCAACTCATGTGTCGTAAAACTCATTTTTTCTTGTAGTGAGAGTTAGATTGGCAAGTTTGCCTTTCGCGACTTGAAGGTAAAAGAAGATTGGACACTAAAGTGCCCAGAAAATTTGCACTCAGCGATATGATGGTAGAGGTGAATGGGCTTAAAGATGCCATTTGGTGATGGGCTTAAAGATGCCATCTGGTGCGATAGAATTTTGTCGGGGAATGGGCTTAGAGATGCCATCTGAGAATGGGCTTAAAGATGCCATCTGGACATGTTGAACTGTATGTCAAAAGTGAGTGGGCAAGTACCAGAATGGCATCCATGTTTTGGAACATCTCTGAACTGGGGGTCCGAACAAGCAACAGATTGACGTCCATGTCTGGAGAATCCGTAAACTATTTTCAGAAGTCTTGAGAAGAATCTGAATAAGTGATAGGTTAACATCCGTTACTTGGAGAACCCGTGAACTGTTTTCAGAAGTCTTGAAGTTGAATAAGCAATAGATCAGCATCCGTTGTTGGGACGCGTCCGTAAGCTATTTTCGAAAGTTGCGTCTGAACAAGTTGGTAGATTGACATCCGTTGTTGGGAAAAATCTGTAAACTGTTTTGAAGTCGAGAAGAGTCTGAACAAGTTGGTAGATTGACATTCGTTGTTGGGAAGAACCTGTAAACTGTTTTCAGAAGTCTTGAAGTTAAAGAGGAACCGGTGTAGGGTTTCTTGATAATGCGTCTGAATGGTTCTGGAATAAGTATCAGAATGTTGCTGTGTCTGGGTCACATCTGAACAATTTTTGGATGAATCTCGGAAGATGATCTGTGTCTGTCGACTGCTCTTACCTGAAAAGGTAAAGGGTTAGTCGTATGCCACGTTATGATGCATGATGCAATGTACGTGACATCAATATTTATGACATGAATGTGATGAATGCGCATGTATGCTGATGAGCTAATCTTGCTAAGGATAAATGAATCCGAGATGGCTGAAGATAAAAGCAATTTGACTGCTGCCGGGGAAAATAAATCCTCGGCTGCTGCTGGGGAAGAGAATTCCTGATGACCTCTACTGGGGAGTTCCACACTAGTAGGCTCATGCTGGGGAGGTAAGATTGAGAATCTTCAGCTTGGTGGGAAGTAACTCTGGCGACTTCACTGGGGAACTCAAGATTTGCCCTCTCCAAAACTCTGTGGGGAGAAGGTTCAATGGTCTGGCTCCGCTGGGGGATTGATAATTTGAAGTTTTAGCTTCACTGGGGATAATGAAGCTTGACTCTGAGCGGAGTTAGCTTCTGGAAGAATCTGAACAAGCGATAGGTTAACCTCCGCTTACTTGGAGAACCCGTGAACTATTTTCAGAAATCTTGAGATTGAATAAGCAATAGAGCCGCATCCGTTGTTGGGAAGCGTCCGTAAACTGTTTTCAAAGGTTGCATCTGAACAAGTTGATAGATTAACATCCGTTGTTGGGAAGAATCCATAAACTATTTTCAGAAGACTTGAAGAAGAATCTGAACAAGTGATAGGTTAACATCCGTTTACTTGGAGAACCCGTGAACTGTTTTCAGAAATCTTGAAGTTGAATCAGCAATAGAGCCGCATCCGTTGTTGGGAAGCGTCCGTAAACTGTTTTCAAAGGTTGCATCTGAACAAGTTGATAGATTAACATCCGTTGTTGGGAAGAATCCATAAACTATTTTCAGAAGTCTTGAAGAAGAATCTGAACAAATTGATAGGTTAACATCCGTTTACTTGGAGAACCCGTGAACTGTTTTCAGAAATCTTGAGATTGAATAAGCAATAGAGCCGCATCCGTTGTTGGGAAGCGTCCGTAAACTGTTTTCAAAGGTTGCATCTGAACAAGTTGATAGATTAACATCCGTTGTTGGGAAGAATCCATAAACTGTTTTCAGAAGTCTTGAAGTTGAAGAGGAACCGGTGTAGGGCTTCCTGATGATGAGCTCGTGTAAAACTGCATCGGTTTTTGAACACTTTTGACATTCGAATGCCTCAAGTGGTGATGTAGATAATTTCCTGGCTTATTACAGGTGTTGGTCTACAATCGGTCGTTCACAGATGTTTTCCTGGGTTGTTACAGGTGTTGATTTGGAATTCTTCAGACATGCCCTGGCTGGATACAGGAATCGAATCCGGAATTGTTATAGTTGATAGATATGCCCTGGCCGGATACAGGAGTCGAATCTGGAATTGTGATAGTTGATAGACATGCCCTGGCTGGATACAGGAATCGAATCTTCAAACTCTTCAGACGTGCCCTGGCTAGATACAGGAATCGAGTCTGGAAATGTTGTAGTTGATTTGTTGAACACTTTTGACATTCGAATGCCCCAAGTGGTGAAGAAGGAGTCTTGAATCAGATTACTCTGCATATTGAGAGATATCTCGAAATCTTGACTGGACTGCCCCAGGTTAATTGAATTGTGATATGTCATGCCCCTTGTTGATAGGAGATTTGATGGAAGTGTTATCCTCTTGAAGTGATTTTTACTTGCTGGGAGAGTTTTCGTTCCTCCGAACATTCGCTGTATGAATTTCTTCGCTGTCAAACAAAAATCAAATGCAGACAGTGATATTCAAGTAATGCAAAGTTTATGTTTGTCTCGAAGTTTTGAAAAATGCGTTTTTAGCAGAAAACTTTTCACAAGACAAGTCAACACGAGATTTAGAGTAAAGCCCTACAGGAGTCAGGATACCTTTTGTAACAGTATGCTTT